GCATTTACCTTATATTTCCAAAGAAAACAGGTACCGACTGAAAATAATAGTATTATGGGTTAATTTGTGATTCACGCGCTTCCTCTTGAAGCTCCGAGGCGTGAGATGATTTGCTCCGGTTACACAGTTTCTCTCAGGCATCATCTTCAGATACATACTAGCGCTTTCATCCATATCAGCATCGTATAGGCTATTATTAGCCGACTCGATATTAAGGACTTATACATACGTACCTTTTAAGCATCTTCATTTAAGTGCATAAAAATAGAACAGCCTGACTACTGGACAAGTTTTTCAACCAACTGCCCGTCATGCGGTGTCCATTACATTATGCCTTATATTTCGGTTGAGTAGTGGTATATAAGGTGGAAGCCACGGAGTTGGTGCTCACTGCAGTAGCCAGTTTCATCCCTGCGAATCCAAACCCAAACCCAAACCCTAAGGACAACCAGAGGTGAGTGTCTTCACAGATGAAACTACAAGAGCTCACAATATCTTGCAAGGAAGAAAGAAAAACGACAAACAACAATGGCCGTATGACTTCGGGTTGATCCGGAGAGGATGTGTTGATCACCTGGCGTGGGAATAATTTGTGTCTTGGAGTTTGGACGTGTTGGGATATCGCTCTTTATTAAGCGGTTTGATTACGCCAGGACTGGGTGGGATTTATCATAACACACTGTGTTGTTAAAGACATATGCAATTAATATGTGCCTTTTACCAAGCATATGGGAGCACATAATTTCTGATGATCTGTTATATGGATGGAGTATTATGAGAGTTTTTTTTATTTTTATAAAAAAATGAAAATGTATAATTGTATATACATTCAAATGAATATATATAAATCCAAGTAAAATAAAACCTCTGTCATTTTTAGGCTAATCATGGCATTCGCTGGTATTCTGAATGATGCTGACATCACTGCAGCCCTGCAGGCCTGCCAAGGTAACCTGCATGTTTCTGGACCGTCCCATTGACCTACAAGCTAAAGCGAGAACATCAATTGCATGTCGTTCCAAACCCGCATGACTTTCTTCTTTCTGTGGAACACAAAAGGCAGAATGCTATAGGGAATGACAGCCTCAGTCACTATTCACTTTCATGTATGGACTAAGATGCAATGAAAGTGAATGGTGACTGAGACTGTCATTCTGCCTAACGTCTCCTTCTGTGCTCCACGGAGAAAAGAAAGTCACGTGGATTTAGAACAACATGAGGGTGAGTAATTAATGACAGAATGTTCATTTTAGGGTGTCAACCTCAGTGCAAACATCATTCGTTAAGAGTATGGACTTGAAACTGTGGATAAGCAAACCATGTTTTTCAAGACCCTTAAGTTCTTCTTGGAGTCATTTATCTCCACTATCACGCTAAAATCTTGATGAAATTACCTTCCAGCTGCTGACTCTTTCGAATACAAGAGCTTCTTCGCCAAGGTTGGTCTGTCTGCCAAGACTCCTGATGACATCAAGAAGGCCTTTGCTGTCATTGACCAGGACAAGAGCGGCTTCATTGAGGAGGATGAGCTTAAGTAAGTCTGATCTTAAAACACATTTTCATATTCAATTAACTATTTTTAAGACTTTTAAATAAACTACCTTGAACAAAACGCTTAATTGCCTGTTGTGCTCTTCAGACTGTTCCTGCAGAACTTCTCTGCTAGCGCCAGGGCACTCACTGATGCAGAGACAAAGGCCTTCCTGAAAGCTGGAGACGCTGATGGTGATGGCATGATTGGAGTTGATGGTGAGGAATTTGCTCCTTGTCCAATACACCAAATAATATATGTATATAATAACCAGCTGCTCCACAATGTCTTCTGATTAATTCTTTCTCCTTCATTTTACAGAGTTTGCTGCCTTGGTCAAAAAATAAATGGCACCTGACCAACAACTTTTGCTGACAATCAGTATTGTAGCCTGAGATCTCCACTTTTTATCGGGGTGGCTGATTTTTATACATAATTCTAACTGTCCACTCCCATGCTGCACTCGGTCCACAATGACTGTCAACGTCACACGGTCTTTCGCATTGTAGATATGCATGTTGGTTTCTGTAAAATCTTTGATGCTGTTTTTGGGAAAGGACAATGAGAAAATAAATACTATTTTTCATTTTTGAGTCTCTCCCCTCTTTCTGTGTAAACATTACACTGCCATTATAGCTTAGCTATTTTTTTTTACTCTTAGAGGGGTACATTAGTAATGGCGTTGCAGGATCAGACAGATTAAAAGACGGCTTAGTAAATAACACAGTATAGAAAGTTATAATCGCATAAAATAAAATTATGGTAAAGGATCATGAAAATGTCTCTGGCAAAAGACTATAAAAATGGGACATGATCAATGAGATATAGATCTAATGGGACATTTCATCAAATACTGTTAAATGTACAGTTTTTGGAAGTGAAAAATAACAAGTCATCTTAATTTTCAGTGAAAACTACACTGACGTCTAGTGTTACTCTTCACATTAGATTTTTTCTTTTCATAAAAAAAAAATCTTAGTTTTTTTGTTATCAGAGGCACAATTGATTGCCATAGAGATGAGGTGGAGGATCTAAGTACTGTAATATGTAATATATTTAACAAAAGAACTCAGGAACTAAACAACCAAAATAACAATAAGAACTAACAACTGAAACAAACCAATAAAGTAAAAGAACATCAAGTGCAAACACTAATTAAACAATGAGTAGGCTATAGTAACTAATGGACACAGACAAAAGACAATGATCTATAAACAGTGAAAACACAAGGTCCAAATAAAGCAAACACAGATGACCTGTTATAATCAGCTATGTATATAATGGTTTTATGTGTCTTTGTAACATATTATGTTACATTAATGTTTGCTTGTTTATTTATTACATAAATTAGAAAGCACAGTGTGAACCAAACGTGTGAAAGTACAATGTGGCCGCCACTATGTGGTGTCTGGTGCCACAATTTATGTGATTTAAACATGCCAGCAGCCTCTCAAATAAATACACTTTTTTTTTTTGCATACTTGACTGATTTAAACGACAACGTATTCTTATCTGAAAAGTGTGGTTTATTTATGTTTTTTGTAAAATGTGTAATTTGTTCATTTGTCAATATCAATTGCAGACTCAACAAACGACAGACATGTTGGCTGTACTGTACTAACAAATTAGAGAATGTAAATGGATAGATCACTATACAGTAACACTACCAGTCAGTTCAGTGACATTAGAGTATATTGGTTTGTTGGCTAGGTGGCTCCAATGTCTTGTCTTTCCCTTTCCATGACAGGCCAAAGGCACTCGGCAGTACCATTTCTTCATCAATTTCCAGTAGATTACATGTCTGCTTAATTATAAAAAAATAAAAATAAAAACTTTAATGCGCTTTTTTATTCGATCCATGGCATTAAAGTATGAAAACTATGTGATGGATTTTTACATGTTTTTATAGGAACAATAAATACTCACATAAATACATTTTTACAAGTTGTCGATTATCTTTGCTATACATGTACTATTTACTTTGAATTCTGACTGATTTTCCTGAACAGCAAACGATGCAGAAAATTCTCTGTCTGTAAGCTCAATCATTACTCTGTCGGATATCAGTCAGATTAGTGACAAAGTAAGAAAAAAAAAGTGTCAAGTTGCATGAGTAGATGATTAGTCTCAGTGTCTGCCTTAGTGGATTGGACTCCTGACTACTTATTTAAAAGTAAGACAAAGTGAATCTCTTTAAATATAAAGCTATATTTAAGTTGCAAAGTGAACCTTGGCATTATATCAAGCATGGGCTACAGTAAGAATCTGAGTAAGCATCTATAATTGTTAAACAGCAACACTTGTACATCAGCATCAAATACTGTATTTTACAGTATTGTTATTAATTAACTGCTATGGGCCACAAAATATGTGATGATGTTAACTAAGTCTTGTGAAACAGATCAAAGGTGATTCACACAAGGGGTCAAACAGTTCATAAGAAATGCATAAGCAATACATGTGTCCACAAAGTGGCAACTTTTCATTTTTATAACATGATTTTATCACGTAAATTCTAATGTTAAATATTGTCACACACACAAAAAATGTCTTTAAGTACATAATTAGCATTTTACTATCGCAAGCTAAATGTGAAAACTGTAAAATATGTTGTGATATATAGCTATTCTTTTAAATAAATGAACATTTTAGTTAACATTTTAGTGTAATGCTGTTCATTAAATATCCAGTTTTCAATTATCAGTTTGCTTATCGTACAAAATGATAACAGGGTCACAGGGTTGACTATAGGAAATCACCCCTTTAAAATGATTAAATAATTATAATAACCAGAGAGCCATATAACCTATCCTTAATAAATACATACATACATACATAATTATATATATATATATATATATATACATACACACACACACACACACTATAGGAAATCACCCCTTTAAAATGATTAAGTAATTATAATAACCAGAGAGCCATATAACCTATCCTTAATAAATACATACATACATACATAATTATATATATATATATATATATACATACACACACACACACACACACACACACACAAAACAGCATAAATTAATTGTATTTATTTTTTCTAAATGTCCAATGAGAATGTCACTTGAAATTACAAAAATGTCTAATGCACAGCAAAAGTTGTAAACATTTAATTGTTAAAGTCATTGTTTACAGTCATTGTTTACACATAGGCTATATTTATTTCTTTATCTATGCCTATATATTTATATTATATTTATATATGTAGGCCTATATGTTTGTATACATTTATATATTTTTGTATACATATAAATTAGGTCCAATATAAATATAAAACACTAGCATATCTATCTATCTATCTATCTATCTACACAATAGCACCCTTGTAATAGAGTGACACACACACACACACACACACACACAGAGAGAGACGCGCACACACACACACACACACACACACACGGAGCGTTTCGTTTCAATCAAGTACGCACAAGATTAGGGAGAAGTGAAGGTACCTGTGTGTGTGTGCATTCGGTCCGAGGCTCATTTAAATAGTAAAGGATAATTAGTTAGGCAAGAAATTCAAGTCGAGCCTTGCAACACGAATTTGATACACGCTCAGGTAACCCAAGCATCTCTCATTGTCCGTCCCATTAGCATGTACATATATATAAGTTGTCAGTGGATGAGAGGCGCTATCACACAGCCTTACCTCTACTCTGGATCAGCGCGAGGAGAAATCTTCTCAGGTCAGATGCTGCTTTCCGCTTACCATCAAATAGCATTTGCTAAACTTTATAACTGTTGGTCCCGGCTGTCTTACACGTGTTTTGGATTTTAACTAAATTCGTTTCAAATTTGAAATGTTATTTTTCATCATGAGAGTGACAGAACGTAAACTAGAATAAATAGTGTAAACATCTTAGAAAATGCATGATGATGATTTGGAAATTGTTACAAATTGTCTGTATTATTGTATTGCCTTTAATGTTTCTTTCATTTTGATGTTGCTCTAATTTCTGTGAATTCTTTGAATTGAATGAATTTCTAATAAATATATTTCTACCACAAATATATATAAAAATATATAATTAGGATAATTTAAGTAATAAATGAATAAAGAGTAACAAAATATAAAGGTAAAAAATAATACTTTTTTCTTCAACAGTTTGAATATGTCACTTACTTCCATCCTCTCGGCTGAGGCCATTGAAAATGCTGTCAAAGACTGCCAAGGTATGTACTAACAATTTTATTAATAATAAATAATAATGTGGAGACAAATTTTAATTGTCTCATGTTGCGACAATAATGACAATAATTCTCATGTTTCTTTTTCTCCAACAGCTCCAGACTCCTTTTGTTATAAAAAGTTCTTCCAACTTTGTGGCCTGAGCCAGAAAAGTCCGCAAGAGGTGAAGGATGTCTTCCGCATCATAGATGAGGATAACAGTGGATTTATTGAGGAGGCTGAGCTCAAGTATGTCATTTTGGCTGCTATTGAATTCATGTGTAATACATCACAAACAATGATGTGATGTGATGTGATTTCAACGTTTGCCAATGCTCTAAAACCCACAGAATGCACAGATACAGACCCATAGACTATGTTGTTGTGAGTTCATGTTACTCGAGGCACAGTTCCTAAAGCTTTTATGGCTTCAATATGTTGCTTTGTTGTTCAGTGTGATCAGGGAAAGCACTTTCTAATACTAAAAATACTGTAATAGACATACATGAAATCTGGTGTATAAAGAAAATTATTTATTTATGTTTAAGCTTAAATGTTCATGTCTTACCTGATAATACCACAGTTCCATTTAAACTAAGTCCTTTTCAAATGTAATCCATGGAGATGCTGTCATTATGTTTTTTTCTCTCCCTGCTTTATGTGATTTATCAGCATTATGTAATGACATCAGCAGAACTAGAACCCATGGCTGGAGAGATGACATTCACAACAGTCCTTTGAAGGGTTTCATTTTTAGCTCACATTTTAGCCAGGACAGGTGAAAGAGATCATATTTGATCATTTGATTGATGAGCTGTATGTGAAAGATCGGAAATGAAAATGGGTTCAAATGCAGAGCTGCTTGAAGTTGGGAGAGTCACAGTTCAGTGCAGCACTTCATTCTTCTCATCATTGGATTTGTGTGAATCAGGTTCTTTCTCCAGCGATTTTTCCCGGGGGCACGAACCCTGACAGAAAAGGAGATTAAGAGCCTCCTTACAGCTGCAGATGATGATAGCGATGGGCGGATTGGAGTAGACGGTAATGTTTCTCATAAGATTGTGCCTGTATTTTCTTGTGTTTTATGCATCTACATATTCTATCATTTTGAATGCAGATTTTAAAAGGGTGGGAAAGCCTTATTTTTTGCATTTTTACTTTGTTAAATTTGTCATTTTATGGCCTTTGCTTGTCTGTTATGTAATTTCTCTGATCATTATTCAGAGATGTGCAAAGATTGAATAGCTGTCTTAGCTCATGGAAACTCTAGTGGGGGAAAAAAACTATCACTGCATTACATAAGAGGATCAAAGATCAGTGTCACCTCAAATTATTATTTCAATCCTGAGTAACGGTCATGCACACACACTGGGACAATACAAAGTCTAAAAGCAGAATGCAAATGACTGAGAATGAGAGCTCAGAGTAAAATTGTCTCCTCATTTTCATTAGTGTTTCATTTGATCAAATCACCTCTTTAGCATATGCTCAAACACATATGTGATAACTATACAGAAAAGGGCTATATTGGACTAACCCTGTTAAATCAGTTTATTTTAATATCATTGTTTGAATTATTTTACTATGTTTTAAATTCTGATGTTCCTCCTTCCCTACAGAGTTTCAGACTATGGTGTTATCCTGAAAGACTCCTTGAGCCCTCGGCTATAAGCACTGCAGCCTCAGCTTTCATTTTTCTTTTTACACCTGATTTCTTTTCAAAAAAGAAGAATCAGCACATAAAGTAAATGTACTTGACTTTTGAATTCATGTCTGTTTTGTTGTCCCACATTCACCCCAAATGACCAATGGCAAAACTGTTCAGGGAAAATAAAATAAAGTCACTAAACTGATGCATCTGGTTTACTGTGCTTTAACTCTGTTTTAAATTCATGCACATAGAATTGTAAGACATACCTATGGATTCTGTGATATTTGATTACAAGCTGCAGCATTTCTATACCAGAAAACCACCAGCATGTGCTGTGCATGAACTTTGAACTTTTGCCACTGATACTGTTTCCACGGTCTGATGTTTAGCTTTGAGATTTATTCATTTGTGCACTGCACATAAGCACAAAACAAAGAAAATACACTTTTATTTTACATCTGAAAAACCTCTGAAGGTGAACTGATCCTAACAAAACTTATAACTACCACAAAATGGGTACAAACAATCAAGTAAAGTAATTTTTGATAACATTTCAGAAAGTAAGTTAAACCTGTTTACACATTTCAACATTGTCTATATTTACACTTACATTTATATGTCAGCAGTGGTGTATAGAAATGTTTTTTTATAGTAATACGAATGATTGTTGTTAGAAGTAAATACAGTATACTAAGAATGTTCTAATGTCCTCAGTAGTTTAAAAATGAAACAGACTTACTTTAGATTGTTACAGTGACCAATATATCAAACGACACCTTATGTTCTCAGCAAACCTTTGAAGTGCAATTAAACTGAAAAAAAAGAATAAATGCACCTCCAGTCATTTGTGAACAGAACTTTCAAATTTTAAATTGCATATGCAATGTTTCACAAATGTGTGGATCTAGCAGCAAGTAGCTTTTAGTCAAGTTATTTCATTTGGTCCTTTGTTAATATTTTCTAAAAAAAAATTCTAATCAATAAATACAACATAGCTCACCGCAAAATATAAACCTTTAAATCCTAGATGTAACCAAAGCCTTAAGACAAGGGAGTTCAAATGTAAAGCAGACTAAGTAGGCACAAAAGGTACAGACACTGAGAGCAGGTGTAAGTTTCAGTGAAGGGGCCTCTCAATACTGAATGGCAAGGATATCCCGCTCAGGTTACCGCTTAGCCCATTAGAACAATGGAATTGAAAATGCTGCATCAATCCTGGCTTCTGATTATCCCCTTGCTGCACTGAAGCCAGAGACCAAAATAATTATAATTAATAGCATCAGCTCTATTGAGATAATCCCAGTGTGCATGCATGGCCCAATATGATAGATTTAACAAACAACTAATGGGGGAGCTTACACAGCAATTATACTAGAAGCTGATCCTCTATATTATTCAGCCAGAGGTCTCGTATTTAAATATAACAACGTTAGCATTGTTTCAATAGCAACTTTCAATTTACAAGCAAATATCTGTAACCACTGGGCTGGTGTGTTACTACTGATCAAACATGTAGAATTATTGCTGAGGTATTCTAACACATTCTGCAGTTGGGTGGACATTTCACATCAACAAAAAAGTACAAAAATATGATATAAATAAGAAAGCTTATGTATATGTATATATATATATATATATGAGCAATATCACTCGAGTACGAGAGCGATACTGGCTCTATATCAGCATGGCTGTGATTAGGCCAGAGGCAATCACAGCTGCTGATATAGAGCCGGTATCGCTCGAGTACGAGAGTGATATTGCGTTTATACAACAGTTCGACGGAACATGTGTGTAATTAAACAAGAAACAACGGAGTGCCTAATAAAACCCTCTTTTGTGCGGAACTACTTCCTTCCGCCACGGATTAAAAGCTCAAATTGACCGTTAAACATACGTCACTTTTAGAATCGTATCAAGGGCACGTGCTGCTTCAGTTAGGTTATTAGAGAAATAATGAGGTTATAAGAGAGAAACAATGCAGCAAGACGTGCATCCAAATGAGAGAGAGAGAGACCGCAAAGCTAGACGTTTCTTCTTGTCTATTAACTAACGTACTCTACCATTAGCTCAGTGAATAATTAAAAAAATATATAGACCCGGCTAGAACAAGCGGAGTGATACAAAATTGTGAAAGGGCATTCCTGTAGCGATACCAGTACAATAGCTCACGTTTCTCAACCAATCAGATTTGAGAACCAGAACGAACTGTTGTATATATATA